AAATTTTGTTTGTAATAAATACAGCGCCATAGAAATAGACGATATACTCACTTCTGAATTTATTTAACATTTGCACCTCATTTGAAAATTCGTCCATTGAGTTTTCATCATCAAAAACGTGTTTTAACCGTTTGATTGCAACAACATTTCCTCGAAAAGAACCTTTATAAACTATTCCAAACGAACCTTCACCAAGTTTCTTCTCTTCTTCCAATTCGTCATAATCAATTCGCGTCGTTTTTTCTGTTATTCCTCTCATTATAATTCCATTAAAATTTTCTTCGTTAGTTTTGATATTTTGAGAAACAATTTGAAGTGTCCCTGATATTTTAGTTGTGCAAAACGGAGTCACATATATAGAAAATTCACAAGCAAATTTGTTCTTTAATGAAACAATTTCCGGTTCAACACGGACTTCATATTTGTCGTTATTTGATGACAACGTGAACTGAATTTTCATCACTGCTTTATTTGTATTACCAACACACAAAATTTCTCGAGTTTCTTGTTCGACTGGTATTTCGTTTTTTTCTGCATTGAAATTGATTTCTTTAGAAGACACGCAAATACCTCCTTGAAGTGTTGTAAATGAAATATTCGAACGTTTCATTTCAAATAAAGTTATTGATTTCGAAGCTGCTTTTAAATGGATTTTTTCAAGTACTCTTTTTGTGAAGAAATACACGATTAGTATTATAATAATTATTAAGAGAATAAGTGATATTATTATGATTAAAATGACCCACCATTCAGCTTGTGTTGTACAATAGGTACCATTTTCACTTGGTGAGTGCCAAAAAGTGCATTTAGAGCATTTTCCGTCTGTTACAGACAAACACTCTTTAACTGAAGACATTGATTTACAATTTGAATTAATCAAAATAAGACCATTTTCACATTTTTGACATTCAAAAGTTGAAGTGCATTGAACACAATTGTTTTCACATCTTTCACATTCTCTGTGGTACAAGTAATATCCAGATATACAAGTGGTGCACCCTAAAGAAACCGATATAGAGGAGCATCCATTTGTAGTATTCTGTAACTTACATACACCTTCATTATAAGTCATAAAATAGTCACTTTGACATGTGATGCAATTGATGTTATCAGTACATGTCGCACACCCTTCATTACACACTTTACACCCATCACCACTTCTATAATAGCCACTTTTACAAAACGCGCAACCTTGTCCATTGGGAAGTGGTTTATCACAAACAGCACTTAATTCATCACTTGTTAGGCATTCATGTTCTTGTAAAAATCTATTTTCAAGACAGGTGATGCACTTTTCTGAATTTAAACAAGAAGTACATTCGGATGGACACTCTACACAAAGACCATATTCATTTATATACATGCCAAAATCACAGGCAACACAATTTGAAGAACTTTCAATGGTGCAGTTTGATTGAATAACTGTTGTACAATTGTTTTCTATTAAGTGATAAGAATTGGAACATTCATCACACCCACTTAAGCGGTCAAAAAGACAATTCTCTCTTTTAGGAATACAAGCACTGCCATTATATAACGTTTCTGTGTTACAAATACATTTATTGTTTGTTATAAAGTTACAAGAAGATTCTATTAAACAATATCCATTCGTATAGATGGTATTATCAAGACATTTGATACACTTTCCATCCATACACATCTCGCAATTTGGAAGTATTTCAGAGCAAGTGTTACATAGATCTTCTTTTAAATAATATTGAGATGATTTGCAATATAACAATTTATTGTTTTGATTGACAAATCCTTTGGAATTAATACATGAAGTTCCGTCCCAATAAAATCCTTCTTGACATATTGAACAAATCGATTTTGATGTGCAAACATCACAATGCTCGATATTACATACTGCACATTCTCCACCTGAAATATAATATCCAAAAGCACATTTAAAACAATTTCCATTGTTTGAATAGAGACAATTGTTACTTAAACAAACTCCATTTTTAATAATAAAAGTGTTAGTATTGCACTTATAACAATATGTGTTGTTCACACACTTCTCGCAATTTTCTCCACATGTTTTACACATTTTTGATGTTTCGTCGTAGTAATAATTGGCATCACACTGTCGACATATGCCATTTTCAAACACAGAACAATAGTTTAATACACAATTCATTCCACTTGTTGTATATAAACACTCGCAAATTCCGTTATTCATTCTTTTTTCTGGCGGACAAGTTATACATTTAATAGGATTTGTTAATGACATAGTGCTCACTGTTTTATTAATACTATTAACAATATTATTATTAAAACATTTTAATTTTTAATATATATTATAATTATACTACGATTAAACCATTTTAATATTATAAAAACAAACTCTCACAATTATTGTTCTTTACAAAATTGTTGTAATTATTTACTGTTTCTATGACTGTACCATCTTTACCTCTAAATAGGATAGGAAAAGTCTCTTGTTGTATGGAAATAAATCCACCTGGTGAGTTTGACTCCAAATACAATGTATCATGAGTTCCATTATTGATTTTTGCTGTTTTGATATCGCCTTTAAACTCACCTTGTGGTATTGTTATTTCCGTTTGAAAATTGTATTTGTTGAAAAATAACACCATCCCTCCATTCACATTTTTCACAGTCAATTTTTCAGTGTTGAATAAATATACAAAAATTATGCCATTGATGTAACCGACATCTCCTTCAGTCTCAAAATTGGCATCTTTCCGGTATATATTTTGATCGCCCATTGCCATCATAGCTACGACATTATTTGTTGTGCTATATGTCGAAATGACTTTGCATCCCTTGTCGTTGATTGCATTAGGAGAACAAGTACAAGTCAGTTGGTGCTCCATCGAACTAAAAAATGCATAATACCTTTTAAATCCATTAATACAGTCTACTGAAACAATTTCATTGTTACCATTTTTGGACGTTTGAATATCATTGGAATTTGAGGAAAACAGGTAACCAAAATATTCTCGTGTATATGATGTTATCAATGAAAAAGAACCTTCAAATAAAAGGTAACTGTTTGTCTCTGGTAATTGAAGACCATCAACGTATAAAAACAGATTAAATGGAAGTTTGTTGGTGTTTAAATTAGAGATTTTACTTGGAAGAGTAAAAGAACTTAAATAAATAATTCTTTGATAGACAGAAGCATCACTGTCAAAATATACTTTGAGACTTGGATCAACATAATAAAAATTGTAAGTTTTCGTTGATAAAGTGTTGGATATAATTGTTAAACTTTTAAGAGTGCACATCGTTGTGGATGTTCCAAGTTGTAAATTGTGATTAAAATCATTTAAAACAACAGTTGTGGATATATAATTTGTAAAAATTAAAATATCTGAAGAAGCTGTTGTTAATTCAACACCACTCTGTAATGTGCATGAAGTACTTTTCTCAGAAAATACACCATTTGTATCATCGCAATAATATGCCACTGATACTATTAAAAACAAAGCCTGAATCATATATCTTGTGAGATTAGGTTTACTTTTATTACAAAAATATTTTTCGGTATTTTTTGGAAAATGTTCGTATTTTCGTAAAAATTTAAAACAATCAACGAATAATTTAGTTTCGATATTTTTTAATTAAATTGTCGTTATGAAATAAAATGTATTTATTTTTTGATAATTTGAATTTTTTTAAAAAAAAAACTGTGTTTGAGTTTAAAAAGGTAGAGTTATTTATTTGGGCATTTTTTGTATTTTGACGAAACACGTTTGCTTTATGTTTTATTATAATTGTTTAATTTCAATTTACATGTTTTATAATAAGAATAAATAGACATATATTAAATTATTTTAATAAACAACAAAACAACTTTTTGTTGATCTAATTGAAATCCACAACTATATTATATTATGATGTTATTAATAAAGTATAGTTACATGTTAAAAATATAAGATTTTGATAATTATAATTGTGTTGTTCAAAACACGTTATTTTAAATATAATATTGTTAATTTTTAAAAATATTTTTTATAAAATATTTGTTTAAAAGGTATTTAGAATTTAATTATACAGTTAACGGAAAAAGTGGGATGCTTAGAAAAAGGGGGATGCTAATCTTAATATTAATTAATTTAATATTATTAATAATTAATAATTATTATAAATTTATTTCGGTTTTTCATTTTATTAATTTTTTGATTAATAATTTATATTAAAATTAATAGTAATTTTATTTTTTTCAATTGAAATTAACCAATAGTTACGAGCATCCTTTTTTTTCGAGCATCTTCATATTTCCTCCTATCGTAATAGTATTTAAAACAATTCAAATAATTATTAAATTGAATAAAGACATAATTTATTTATGTTATTGTTTGTTTTTTTTAAAAATAATTAAAAATTACACAACATCAACAAAAAATTATAGTCGGTCTACAAACCTTATTAGCACTCATTTTACCAATTTTTGATAAAATAAAAGGCAAATTAATTTACGAATTTCGATAAATCCGTTTTTATTATTTGCTTCTTTATTTTTTCGATTTTATCCTCAAACTATTTCGAATAAAACACTTAATATTAAAATGTGTACAACATTAGAGAGTGAACAACGTTTGTAAACTGAAAATTTGAGTATAATAATGATAAAAAGTTTTTAATCTAACGTTTTTCAAACAAAATTGTTTCTAAAAATTTTCTCGATATTTTATACTTTTGTATACATGTTTGTAAAAATTAATTATTATTATGATTTTTTTTATTATAATATTATGTTTTGATGGGTAAAATGGAGAATCTGATTCTACAAAGGTAGATAGATTCTTTACTAAAAATAATAATTATACCAAAGATTTTACCGAAAAGCTTGAAATATTTTTGGACTATCCAAAAAGGTATATTTTGGCACTAAAATTTTTGGAAAGAGAGACAAGAAGAACACCAAAACATTATAGTCCCAATTTGTATATAACAATAGGTGAAATGATTAGAGACGAAGAACTGTTTTTAAACTTTATTGAATTGGTTGTTAAAAACGGCAATGTTGACAAAATTGAGTATGAAAAATGGTTAAAATTGTTGTTTAAAATGTTTAATTTACACGAGGTCAAAGAATCTTATGGCAAATATCTTTTTATGCTCAACGAGAATATCAATCTGGTCTTCGATTCAAAAGTACTCACTGAACAACAAAAGAATAAAGCAGTGACAAGTCTTCTTCTCAACATGGAAATGTATGAAATGAAAAGGAAAATTCTGATGGATATTGCTCAAGTTTTGAACGAAAAAAGAAATCCATTATATCTAAGAGCACAAAACAAATTGGGAGATTTTATAGAAACCCTTTCAAAATACATTGACAGTGAAACTCATGCTAGAGAAGAACAACCTCATTTGTTGTTGCCAAAACCTCAAACACCTGAAACAACAAGACCACCAAGACCAATTTACAAAAACATCGAAAAGGGGAGAGAGTTGGAAAAACTTCTTAAGTTGCCGACTGAAGAAGAAATAAAAAGAAAAATATCAACAACCAAATCAAAAATTCCAGTCAAAGAACAAGGAGAAGTTGGAAGGGAAAAAAGAATAAAAATGAAAACAAGGGTTGAACAAAAAGGTGTGAAACAGAGCCGAATACCAGTTTTAAAACCTAAAAAAGAAAAAACAGAAGAAGTTGAACAAAAACCATTCGTTTCAAAAATACCAAAACCACCCAAAGGAAAAAGAGAACAAAAAATTCAAAGTCCAGAAGAAATTGGAAGGAGCCAATCAAGAATTCCAGTGTTACAAAAAAAGAATAAAAAAGGCACAAAAACAAGAAAAAGATAAAGTTCCAATATCTAAAATACTAATCCGAAAAAAGAGAATTTAATGTTTTTATTCCTGTTGTTATTTTTTTGTTTTTTTTTATTTTCACAAAAAAACTAATTTTTTTATTTATATAATAGTGAAATATAGTATAATATATTATAATATAATATAAAAAATTAAAATATATTGATAAATTATAATAAATTAAATCAAAACAAAAGTAAATTACTTTTTGTGTTTTTTATTTCCTTTGGTTGATGTCTGTCCACCTTTCTTTTCTTTTTGCTGTTTTTCAGAACACCCATTTCCAGTCTTATTTTGCTTAGTGTATTGACTTAAATCCAAAGAGTTGCACCCCACAAACGCATTTTTATCAAAAGAACCAATTCTATTCAAATTTTGGACAACATCAAGTCGACTACACAATTCAAAACAGTTTTCCCCAAGTTTTATCGGCTTGCAAGGCAATGTAACATATTTGAGTTCGGCACATTTATAAAAACATTGATTTCCAATAGAAGTGACACTATCTGGAATACTGACATCTTGCAACGAATTACACAATGAAAATGAAGACTCTCCGATACTAACACATTTAGTAGGGATGTGAATCTCTTCGAGTTTTGAACACTGATTGAAACACATCTTTGGTATTTCCACAATGTTATCACTTAATATGACCTTTTTGATATTTGAGCAATGCTCAAACATGTGATTTGAAATGCGAGTAACCGTTTTGGGGAGTTCCAATTCCGTTAAAGAACTGCAGCCATTAAAACAACTTTCTTCAAACGCGGTAATAGAGTGACAAAATTGGATTTGACTTAATTTACCACAACAATCAAAGCAATGGTTTTTAACTACTTTTACATTTCCAGGTATATTAACGGATGGTAGTTTACCACAATTGTTAAATACCTGATATTCAAGTGATGTGATAAATAGGGGAAGTTCTACTGAAGTCAACGAAGAACAATCATTTAAACAGCCATTGCCAATGTAAGTCACTGTATTTGGAAGTGAAATTTGACTCAATGAAGTGCACTTACTAAAACAATATTCTTCTATGGATAATACTCCATTTGGTATATTAATAGATGAAAGTGAGGAACAGTGTTCAAAACAATTTTCACGTAACACAGACACTGTTGGTGGAATATCTACTGTTTTCAATGAAGTGCAATAATTAAATAAATCATTGCCAATTTGATTTAAACACTCGGGTAGTGTGACGTTAACAAGATTTGAACACATACAAAAACACGAATTTCCTATAGAAATGACACTATCAGGAATTGATATTGAAGTTAAATCACACATTGAGAAACAATTTTTTTTAATCTTTTTGAGTGTTGTTGGAAGTGAAAAAGAAGAAGCTCTGCTGCTGTAAAAACATGATTTCCCAAGAGAAGTTATGTGGTTTGGAATTCTAAAAACCCCAGTTTTGGTGTTGTTAATAAAACATTCCTTTTTTAAGGAATTCACGATGGGAGGAATTTCTCCGTTACATGTATGAATTGTTTGGGATGTACAACTCACATTTTTAAATTCATAAGTTGCATATGCTGGATCGAGCGTGTCTTCATAATGTACTCGAAACCAGACGACTGTTTTATAAAAAGACTGTTTTATTTCAGTAAGAGGTGGCTTGTCTTGTTTTTTTGTCAAAAAATAATCTTCATTATATTTTTTGCTGCATCTTTCATAAAGGTGCAAAGTTTCAAGATGGGGAAAATAGCGAATGGTTTTGTCTGTCACTGTTATTGGATTGTAGTGGAACTTCTCCATATTATTGTTAAACTTTTTACACACAAACTGCAATTTGATGAAATCAAGAATTGTAGAAAAGTACTTTGAAACTATCATGATATGATATCCATCAAGTTGTTGCATTTTGTATTTGTTTTTTTTCATAGATGTTTTCAAATTGTAAATAATAAAAAAATAGGAACAATTAGTTTGAATCTTAACATTTTAATTGTTTAAAAAACAATTATAATTGGTTGTCTTGATTTGATTATAAAATTACATAATATGAAATATTAATGATGAATGTGTTCGTTATTTTAACAATAAAGAAATATATTTCAAAATCATTTTATTTGTTTAATTTACTATAAAAAATAAAACATGCTTTTGACATTTTAATTTGTATTTATCTGTTTATATTATTGTTAATTAATTTAATGTTATAACAATTAATTAGAATGGTTTTCAATCGTGTTTTTAAATGTTTGTCATAAAAAACGACAAAATGAAGATGTGCGTTTATCTTAACAACAAACTGTTTTTATTTTATAATCGAAAACATATAAATTATAAAATTGGTGTTTTTAACAAAAATTGATGTTTTACTTTAATTGAAATCAAAAATAATATCAAAAAATCTTATTTGATTTTGACTTTAATTTAAATTTTATAGGTTTAAAACACACAATCATCAAAATCAAATAATAACGATTTATATAATTCTGCACATTGTCGAATTCAATTCTTTTTGAATTTGGTTCAAATTGCACTTGTATTCACTTTCGCCATAATTAATAACAACTTTATTAATATCATTAAACGCCAAAGCAGCTGCGACCTTAACACTTTCAAACTTTTTCTTATACACCAATTTTCCATTACATGTGAAAAACACTTCATCTGTCTTCTTATTTTTAGGATTAATTTTTAACCCAACTCCAACTGTGTTACTTACATTTACTTTTTCTCCGTACTGAATTTTTGTGTTAAATTCTGCATTTCCAGATCCCGAGTATATCGCACCGTCATCACTATGAAACCCAATACTTCCTCCATACCACCCAACTTGCACGTCCTTATAACAATCTGTTTTGTCCAAATCAAGAACTCCTATACTCATATTGCTACTTCCAGTTATTTCAACTTCAAAGTATCGAATATTTTTAATACTAAACTGTTTTTCAAAAGTCGGTACCGAAAGGACCCGACTTTTTGAAGTAAATGATTCCAAATATTTTTCATTTTGTTTGACATCGTTTTTTTGCTTATTTTTTTCCCTCTTATTTTTTAAAAAACAAACTTGACTGAACCTTGAATTTAGACCAAGCTAAAAAATTAAATAAAAAATAACAAGGAAAATATTAAATAACTTACTTCTTCAAAAATTTTGCTTGACCATATGGTTGTTTTTGCCGTGAGTAAAACCGACTTTTTCTCTTTTCAAAAGAAAATGTTAATGATCCAACAAATAATAAAAATCTTTCAATTTCATTAACACTTACAACACAAAGAAAAGATTATTGAAAATAAAAATAACCATTTAATATGTGTAGCGTTTCAAAGTTTGTTTTTTTTAAAGAGACAACCATAAAATAACAACAAGTTAGAACGATTTATTGTGTATTTTGAAGTGGGGGAGAGTCGTAATGTGAGAGGTAAAATACGGTTATCTCACCCATTCAAACTACTCGTCCATTACCAAAAGGCAAAAATGCCGATTTTTCGAGAATCTCAACAGTGAAAAAGACTGAATAACAGTCTCAGAAAATCGGACAAGTTTGTTCTAATTTTTTGTTAAAATCCCGAAATTTTAATTGAAATTTATAACTGTATTGGTTTTGAGGGTTAAAAAGTCGGTACTGTTTTTTCTTTTTTTCAAATGGAAATTATAAATGAAAACAACAAAAAAACTTTAAAAAACGGGAATTTATTATAAAAGGGTTTCCACTAATAATTGGTAAAGTACCGACTTTTGGCATACAGTTTATTTATGGCATTTTCATTTTTATTGTCTGTTGTATTAATATAAGTCATTGTTGTAGCACTGCTGTTTTCTAAGAAAAATCCATATGAAATCGCCACGTCATACTCATGAGAACTGACCGATACCTTTCTAACAACTTCGTTGTTTATTATTTCAATGCGTTGACTGAGTGGAACAAACTTGGACATTTTCCATTCATTCGTTTCTTTGACTCGTAAAGGAAATTCATAAATAAGTTTACTGTGTTGAATTGTATTTTTATCGGAATATTTTACTAAGTATATTCCAATTTCAATGTCGTTAAAAAACGTTTGTTTTGAATTGCTAATTTGCATCACTTTTCCTTCCAAATTTGTTTCTGGAAAATAGACAAAAGTTGACTCAATAACAAAGAGATTTTTAACACTTTCGATTTTTTCCATTATTTTCAAATCTTTTGATTTGAATAAGGTGATATTTCTGATAATGGGAAACGTGTTTTCAAATGTGATTTTTTGTGAATTAGAGACATACAAATCCTTCAAGTTGGAAAGAAAACAATTTTTATCAAAAGTTATGTTATACGAATAATAGACAACCAAATGCTCCAAAAACCCAAAATATGTTGAATATACCAAATGAGCGCTAAAATGAAGACCAAATGTGTGGATATTAGAAAAGTCTAAATTGGTAATGTCAAATGTTTTTATTTCATTGTGTTGATATCGAGTTTTATATAAATTGTGTGCTGAAAAGACGACTTTGTGTACGCATTTTGGCAATACCCATACACTTCCTGCCACGTCTTTCGTGAATTTAAAATAATAGAATTCGCATATGCCCGTTCTATAATATCATTGATACTTATTCCATTTGAAGAACCTGTGATATTCAATTCCCCATTTTCGCATCTTATGTTTTGAGTATGAAGTGTTTTATCTGTGTCACAACATGTATATATACACATGGTTTTCTTAAACACTTTATCCGTTTGTTCTCCATCCATTTGTTTGTCAATTATGATGTATATTTTACTTCTTTGGTTGTCAGGTAACATTGCTTCCACTTGTTTTAATAAAGAAATGATGTGCAAATCCAATATAATGGGATCCGATTTGTAATTATTTGCTATAACAATGTCTGGGAGTTTTAAATACTTCTCTTTACCATTGTCTGTGTAATTTTGTAAGAACCGAACAAAGTAGTCCAAGTCTATATTGAGATAATATAAGGCAGTCAAATACTTTGAGTTTTGTATGACAAGGTCTGCAGTTTTACTATAAGTTATTACATCATCAAGTTCCACAGAATCGGTGTAGGCAGCTATTTCATTTTCGTCACCTAAACTAAATAAAACCAATCGTGTAATTTTTGGAAATACACTTTTTATAAAATTGTCATCCATTTTGCCAGTTTTATATAAAGGAACTAAATCAACATTTCTTATTTGTTTGGGTTGAATATACGCCTTAATGTTGTCGTAAACATAATAATTAATGTCAAACGTGTCTGGTGAAAAATGTTTGAAAAACCATTGAAGTGAAGGTTCATTACCAAATATGGGATTCACTTTGAGAGCTTGAAGTGATGATAAACATTTATGAGAAACTTGGAGAAAGTTATATAAATTACTCTTGTGCAAAAGGTGCATTGAGACGTTCATTAAATAAACCATTTCAAGCTTAGACGGCATTACTCTCTTATTTATATTTATCAGTTTTTTAAAAAAATGAAAGACGAATCATATTTATTCATTTAATTGATTTTTTTAAATAACTTTTTTATATATAATTAAATCAACTATTATTAAAAATGAGAATGTTTATATTGTTCAATTTACTCACTGAATCAATAATTATTTTGAAAAAACAACATTTTAATAATATATTTGTTGTGTATTAAAAAATTTGTTATATGTTGTAAAACACATTTAAAATTAAAAGGAAAATTAATTGAATGTTTATATGATTATCTTTGCAAATCATTATTTTTTTGCCACCAAAATAAAAGTTTCTAGTTATTTATATTAAAAATTAATTATTTCCAAGGCGTCTTTGTGATTACAGATACAGGAAAAACCAGGGACCAGACTAAATTAAGCTGTTTTATTTTTGGTATAAAGTTTCCTTGTTAAAGTAAAATCACCAAATAATCGGGTTTTTGGAGGATATGTTGGTTTATTTTCAAAAACAGTAACCAACTATTAATAAACACACTGTTTTTTTAAATAAAATAGAAAAAACTATAAAATATGAAACTCTTAAATAATCATTCAGAGTTGTCTCATTTGTTAATGCCCAGCCGAGCAAAAGAAAAGTTTGTTCTTTGTATTGATTTATCTTCCGTTGTTGAATACTTTTAATAGTTATCAATCATTTACTGAATGTCTAACATTCCGACAATTTATTTATTCTTTATTTTATTTTCATTTATTGCGTGAGTCACTTTTAATGCTGAACGAAAAGTGACTTATCAAATCAACCGAGTGAATAGAGAAGACTACAACATCTTCTTTGAAAAAATGAATGAACGATTTAATTGAATGGTTGTGTTAAAATTAAACATGGTTGAACAAAAATATAATATTTTATAATTTAATATTAATAAAAAATAATAAACTTATGATTATAACTCACATTAAGCTGTTGTTCATTCATACTTTAAACAACACATTCATTATTTTTCATCCCGAAAAATAACCGTTTTTAAGACCAAATAATAAGAAAATTACACACTTATTTATATATTTGCCCGTTTTATTGTATAAAATCCGCTTAATATTCAATAGCTAAAATTAGTCTGGTCCCTGGTTTTTCCTGTGTTCCTGTTAATTCCGCTATCTGTATAGCTTTATTCTTTAAAACAAAATTTTAAAACAAAAATATTAATTTTTTCCCTGTTCCTGAAAGACCCTGATAAAAATAATAACCTACAAATGAATTTATATAAAATGAAATATAAAAACAAAAAAATCCAATAACAAACAATGGAAAACGAGTTGACAGCACTCTCAGCACTCTCGACAAAAGCAACAAAGGCGTTGTCAGATTTCCAAAAATTAAAGTTTGATTACGATTATGTTGACAACAAGTCACTTGACATTGCACAACGAGTTGAAAATGCAGAAGGTTACTTCGACAAACTTGACGAGATTATTGAGAGAAAGAAAAACATCACAACATTACTCAACACAATTCTTACTGGTTTAAACAACATATTAAACAATGACAATGAGAAGTTCTATGAGATATACAATCTCAGAATTTCACTTCTTGAGGAGAAATGTAAAATGGACACAAAACCATATGAAGACCAAATCAACAAAATTGTGCAAACAAAGAACAACTCAATCGATCAGATAATCAAATCTGAAAAATTTATCAATTTAAAAAGACAACATGATAAGACAGAAAAACTAAAAGAAGAAGAAAGAATGAAGCGTGAACACATCACACTTGACGAAAAAGATGGTCTTGAGAAGTTGACAGGAATGAAGATTTCGAGTGTTGTGTTTGACTCAGACAAAGACGATTGGTCATTAGACAATTCTGTGTTTGATGAAAAGGTAATGAACAAAAGCAATTTGTGCTTTTTAATAGAAGACACAAATAACAACAAGTTTGGTGGTGTGTTCACTAGAAATATTTATGCTGTAAATAGTTGGATCAGCAGTGTGACTTCTTACATCTTTTCGCTTGTGAGACGCGGCATTTTGAATCCAAAGAAATTTAAAAAAAGTGGAAATTATTCCAATTATGATTTTGTACTTGGTTCTCAAACCAAAATAATTCTTTTTGGATTTGGTGGTGGTCACGATATCTGTGTTGACAAGAAAGATCAAAATGGTAGTTATTGTAGTCCCAAAACATACACCGCCAAAGAGAACGAGTTGACTAATGATGGCATATTCACGCCAAAGAGTGTTGTCGTTTTCCAACTTAACTGATTTGCTTATAACTTCGTGTTTTGTTTTTATATCAAACATTTGCAGCACTGACAACCAAAATGTCTGTTTTGTAATTTGCCACATTATCAACATAACTTGAATTAATGAAGACCACGTTTTTACATAATGTATTATACTTTTGAAAGTCAGTCAGATAAAAAAAAGAAAGAAACAATGAAATTTTATCTTTTAAAATGAACATTATACTGATAATTTATTACGACATCTTCGGTGTTTTTAATTGTGTTTTTGTATTTTTTATATTCTATCATTGTTGAAGTTGAATTTACAACACCACAATTCGCTGGGTTCAATTATTAATAATAAAGTAAAGGGAAAATCACATTTAATATTTTATTGTTATTTATTGATTTTAAATAGAATGAAGGTGTATGAACAAAAACATATATTTATCGGATTTGAATAAAAAGAGTCAATAACACATTTTAAATAAACATAATAAAAGATATCATAAACGAATTTTTCGATAATAATGAAATTATATTATTGAATTGTTTATTAATCTAATAGATAATACAAAATCAATAATATTAATGATAATTGTTACATAGAAAAATGTTTTTGTGGTGTCACTTTTTAATAAAATATTGATAATATGACATATAGTTTTAATATTCATGTTAACTCTGTTTGCATAACTATTAAATAAAATTACAAATTTTAAAAGATTTGGGTATCAGACAAACAACAAAAAATAAACAAATTAAAAAATGTTTGTTTCAAAATAATAGCAATGAATAAAAGAAACTAAATTTGTACACAATTTTTTATGTGTTCTATAATAAACTTATCAACTACAGTTTTGTGTTAATAAGTTGAAAATTTCAATTTAACGTATTCAGTTACTTAAAAATGAATCAGACTGTTGAAAGTTATAATAATGTTTAAAAAAAATTATAAATAGTTTTAATAAAACAAATATTTGTTTAAATCTTGGTATTTGTCCAACTTTATTTTTTTTATTGAAAATAATTATAAAAAATCAGCTTTAGATTTAACAAGCATTGAATTATTTAAAAAATTGTTCTGTTTTTAAATATGTTTAATAAATAATAAACAATTACAATAGTGATATGTTTATTGTTTGTTAAATATAATTAAATAATAATATTAAAAAACAATAGAACAATATAAATATGTTATAATGAAAAAATTAATAAAATAACCACAGTTAATAAGCAAACTTTAAATTTTTAATTTCTATATAAATCGTTGATTTGTTTCTGCATCTTTTCTGTTCTTTTCATTGCGAATTCATCAATTTTCTCTTGACTAACACCATCATCAAGGCCTGTATGTGCTGCAACTTCGTCGTCGACTTTTACAACCAATTTGGTTACTTGATCAAATGTTGGTCTCTCTTTGCCATCTTGTTTCCAGCACGACTGAATAAGTTGTGCATAATCTGGTGGCATACTTTTGTCAAGAATTAATCTTTTCCCTTTTTCTACATGGTCTTTAATTTCAAACACAGATTTAAGTTCTTTGTAAGGCTCTTCTTGATAAAAGATTTCCCAGGCTGTAATCCCATATGAATAGACATCTCCGGAGTATGTGTATTCGTCGTGGAAAGTTTCTGGTGCTGCGTATACGGGAGTCCCAAGTCCTTTGTCTTCATTCTTTTTCATCGTCTTTTTGACAAATCGTGATGTACCAAAGTCTGTGATTTTGACTGAACACACCGAGTGTGGGTCCAATGAATTGACCAACAAATTGTCTGGTTTCAAGTCCAAGTGCATGATTCGATTTTCGTGTAAAAATTGCATTCCCTTTGCTGTATCAAACAACATTCGTATTTTTAACTTGTAAGGGAGTTTTAAATAGTCCTGTCTGTCTTTTCTTAAAAATTCACCCAATGATCCCAAAACGAAGAATTGAATGACCATTGATACTTGTGGTATGTAAGTCACTGCTCAATGTAACTTGCTATAAATGGATTATGTAATTTGCTCATAATATCACATTCAGACTCAACTTCTCTTTTCAGTTCAGCCATCTCTGTATCTGATAGACTCTCCCATCTAAATGCTTGATTGCAACCGGAACACTTCTGTAATTGCCAATGTATACTCTACCCATTGCACCTTCGGCTATTGGAGTTTCAGACATATTCAGTTCATCCATATCCAAATGGACTGTATTCATGGCATCTGTGGTTATAACCAAGTTATCGTAATGTCGCCTTCTAACATCTTTACAAAGACTTTTCATTTTCTTTCGATCATCATCCATCCAATTCTCAAATGTCTTGTTTTTAAAACATTTGAAATTGAAGTCAATGTACTTTTAGAATGTGAAAACCACACCGAATATGGGATTTTCAAATCTCTAATTCGAGTAGTACAATGAATTGTTATATAACAAGTTACTGTATGAGGAGAAGCTATTCTTGGACGAATTATAAGCACTTGTGGATCAAAATAAAAGGTGTATTCTGGGTTGTTTGGAGTGTGGAAAATGATCATCATCCATTTATTCTTTGAGTAATTCTTGACTTCCATTTTCTCGAATCTTGTATGTCCAATTGCCGTGAGTTTGGTATCATTGCCAAAATCAAGTCGAGTTGGGGTTATTGAATACCTTGACTGTTTTCCACTAAGTGCTCGAGTTGCTCCACTGATATAGAAATGATAAGACGGTTGTTGTGTTTTGTAGATGTTGATATCTATTTTCTTGTATCTAAATACAAAGATAAAAATAATCAAAAAACTGCCAAGCACAATAACAAAGAAAGCAATTGAACCAATTACTATCCCAACAATATCACCAGCATTTAACGTTTTTTCGATACAACTAAATGGGTCATCCGGAGAAGTGATGAATCCTTCAATACACTGGCAAGTGATATTACAGTTCACGCCACCGTCACATTCTTCAGTTCGAATATACTTTCCATTTGATTCATAGTACTTGTCTATTTTACCATTGCCACATTTATTACTCACACATACACCACCATAACTCGAATAATTCATTTTGTTATCACAATTACATCCACCATCACAACCTTCGGTGTCTAATTTGCATTCATCCCCATAACCCAAGTCACCATTTCGACATTCAGCTGTAACGCACATGTGATTATTTACACCTTTTCCGTTTGTGCATTGACAGTATTGGTCACAGTCTTTGGATCCATAATAACATAAATTTGATTCAGCTGGGATTTGCCATATATTATTGTAATAACACATAAGGTGGCAATCATCTCCACCATACCCATCATTACAAACACATTAACCTAAATCTGTGTCACATCTCCCAAATCCTTTTTCGGCATTACAGTCATTGGGACATATAATTGAAAGTGTCATTTTAACTTCAACTCTGAAATTTTCAGATAAAAAGGATAAGTAATGTCTA